TAAGTACAACAGCCCCATTGGGCTCCCTGTCTCAAGGTGCTTAGTGGTGACTCAGATTGCACAGAAAATATCCCCACCTCAACCCTTCGATGTCCTGCAGAGGTATATAACAAACCAGGAGCCATGATGTCCTGTACGCTCTGGCTGGAGGTCTGTGCTGTTGGTCAGTGCTTTTTAGTCTGAGAGTTCAGCTGTGGATGGCAGTGGCCTGTTCTGCCCAGGAGTTTGCTCGTTGTCTTGCTTGCTGCAGAGGGAGTGCCACTGTCCAGATGAGCAACTTGGTTTTGCTAGTGCCTAAAGCCATTTTCAGCCACCATTTTAACCTCTAATGAAAGGAAATCTCATTCACCTGGAACCAAGACAGGCACAGAGAGAACAAGATGACAGTTCAGAACTTCCTTGTCTTTGAAACTTCCAGCTTATTTCCTGGCATCAATCTGTGAATCATAGTTGACAACTAAGTAGCAAGTTCCAGATCTTAATATGCTGAGTATATTTGGCATATGGCCAGCCTATACTGCATTCAAGTCAAGGATCATGGAATCAGCTCTCTTGCTCTCAGTGAGATTTTCTGATTAAGTATGCTGCCTTCCACAATCATTTAATTTCTTAAATATTCTGATGTAATCTCATATCCTTCTACTCATAAAATACAAGCAAAAGTAGGAACAACACCTTAGGAATACTTTCAAAGGAAAAATAATGGGAAATGACTGTGGAATGAGCATGTGAAACAGTTGCTTGCTCTAAAATCTGAGATACTTTGGCAGTGTGGGACAACTCATAGGACATGTCTAACCAATTTTTCCTTGAGGTCAGAAAATTACTTTACACAGAAGAGAGGGTCCTTCAGAAGTCAAGAACGTTCACCTCATAATGTCCCTGCCTAGAGGACAGATAAAAGGAAGGAAGGGCAGGCTTGGGAATCCCTTCCTCTTGTTCACAATGAGTATATAGAATAATAGAATTGTTTAGGTTGGGAAAAAACTCTAAGATCATCAAATCTAACTTGTATCCCATCACTTTCAGGTCCACCACTGAATTATGTCCCAAGAGCCACACCCACACATTTTTTTAACACTTCCAAGGATGATGATGATTCTGCTATTTCTGTGCCAATGCCCAACTGTTCTTACAGTGAAGAAATTTTTCCCAGTATCCAATTTAAATTTTCCCTGGCACAACTTGAGGCCATTTCTTCTTGTTCTGTGTCTTGTTAGCTGGGAGAAGAAACTGACCTCCACCTCACTACAACCTCCTTTCAGGTAGTGTGGTTGTAGGTGGTTCCTGAGCCTCCTTTACTCCAGGTTAAACAACTCCAGCCCGCTCAGACACTCCTCATAAGACTTGTGCTCCAGACCCTTCACCTGCTTCCTTGCCCTGCTTCTTCAGCTCTAAAGTTGTGAGGCCTATATACTCTTCTTAGGACATTTTAGTTTCATTCTGCAGTTTGGTGACTACAAATGTAATTAGTGGCAGGAACCCAAATGAGCTTTGCTCAGTTAAACCTTCTGCTACACCTCTGCAGCCTGTCTACACACTACGCACTGGTTTCTTTTGGGATTCATCAAGGAAGAGAAACCAAAGGACATTCATTGGAATTTGGAGTAAGTGTCTCAAGGTCTGTGAACTGATGAATCACTCTTAGATTTTTTGATCCTTAATGAACACCTTCTGGCTGTATTTTTAGTCACTTCTCTCAAAACTTGTTAAATTTGATGCATATTTCTGGTTAGTGTCTAAAAACCAATGGAAACTAATCCTACATGTTCAGATCTATATTTGGGAACATCTGTGTCTAGATTACTCTAAAATCAAAAGAGAGTCTAAAATGGGACATGCTGAGAGTACAAGCAGTTAATATAATATTGTTTTAATATTTCAGCATTATTTTTCTATCCTGTTTTTCATGTTCCCTAAGACATTACTGGAACAGCTGAGACCAGATAGAAAAAAAAAAAAAAAAAAAAAATAAAAAACTAAAAAAAAAAAAAAAAAAAAAAAAAAATTCATGAATTCTGAAGAAAATTAAACTGTTACTTCATTCAACTCATTGCTTAAATCTGCCTTAAATGCTACCATGCCAGAAGAATGGAAGGTGGAAAATACAACTATTGAGACTTCAGAGCTCACTAGAATCAGTGTTTGATGTCTGTGCCAAGTAACTTACTGGAAAACATAATAAAGAGTAGAACTGGTGAAATGAATGATATGTTGGAGAAGAATCAGCATTGCATACCAAGAAGGATGTCTTGTTTTGCAAATCCATTTGAGATTCAAGGAATGATATTTATTTAGATAAGGATGGTTCTAATAATATTAGATACTTGGGTTTTAAAAAATTTTTGAGCTGGTCTTTTACCATATGCTCTCCAAGTGTGATCATATAAGATAAACAGAAAAGGATACAAAAAAATCTGAAAGAAAGAAATCTCATCACTATATTACACAATATAATGCAGTTTCCAGAACCCACAAAAATCTCTGCTGTTAAACATCTTCAGAAATTTTATGGAGAAGCTTAATGCCATGAGGTCAGTTGGCAGATAATACAAAATTCATCTGAACAGACAAATCTTAAACTGGTAATCCAGATTATCAGAAGATTTTTAGCAAAAAAAAATCAACTTTATCTTGGCTTAGTGAGTTGAATTGACTTGCTGAGAGGTCACATCGTTGACAAAAGTGTACAAAGATTGCACATCTGGGGATAACATGGAAGCATAGAGGGAAGGCAGAGTGGGGCAACCTGTTTTGGCAACAAAAAGCTGTTCAGTTAGCTTGGCTGTATCACTTGATAACTCTCTTCATGTGACAGGGTAATAAATGACAAGTGAAATTTAATATACAGACACACAAAGCCCTCACCTTCTGTATTCACTGGTAAATCAGCACTCTGGAAAGTGTTTTCCACTCAGGAAAGAGATCTCGGACCTCTTGTTCATGGCTCTTTGGAGAGAACAGCTCAAGAAGTAACCTATGCAATGTTTGAAAATAGTAAGAAAAAAACAGAAGAAAGAAACAGGACACTGTTGCTATAATATCATATCTGGAATATTGTATGTAGTTTTGTCAACATTGTCTGAAAAGAAGTATAAATAGAAAGCATACAGGGCTTCTCTTTGATGGGCTCAGGCTGCAATCTCAGAGCAGACTATGGATTTACTGCTGTAATCCCACTCCACACTTCTTCATGCTGTCACTGATCTGGTTCACACAGTAACCTGGTAGAAGACACACACACTGAAAAAAGGAAGAATTTCCTGCCAGGTGACTGAGCTGAAAGGGCACAGTCACATCTGTGGGTGTAGACAGGGAGATACATGAGAGAGGGAGAAAAGTGGCAGCCAGTCCTAGGAAAACTCTGCCTTCAGCTGTAGCTTCACAAACCATTTTGGCCAGCTTTGCTGATGAAATTGGGCCCAAGCTTCTTTGCCTGCAGCTACTCGCTGTCACCCCTGAAAGCCTCTCCCTTTTGGTGTTTGTGCAGCTGTTCAGCAGCTCAGTGGGGGAACTATCTGAAACAAAATTAATCATTTTTGTTGGATTATTCTGATAGAGTTTGCAGCATACTAGCACAAGAAATGCATGTGGCCAAAGGACAGAAAAAAGCAACAGGGACTGGAAGGACTGCTCCTTTGAGCAATGCTAGCTCAAAGGGGTTTGGAAACAAGTAAAAGACCAAAGCTCCATAGTTCAGGAAAAAGGATTAAATCACATGAGGTCAATAAACTGGTATGCTAAAAATAAATAGGGCATGATCATTCACTATTTCTTAGATGACAAAAATTCAAGTACCTTGTAAAATTTTTAAGCACTGGTTTTAAAACTAGTGAGAAAAAAATTCCTGTCTAGCCTTTGTGCAAATTTCAGACCTTCCCACCACTCCTGGAGGCCAGGTGTACCAACAGCTCAAAAAGCTATTTAATATAGAGAAGTGGTACATTTGTGGCTGTTAGGGTTGCAGTGGACACAGATTTCACCTGAGAGCTTTTCCTGTCCACCCAGGAGCTGAAAACGGAAAGAAAAGGCCACATAATGGTGGTTTATATATTTTTATACCTCTTACATGGTGTCTCTACTATTGGCCATTGTCAGAAGTTACCAGCCTAGGGACAGTTGCTTTGAATGAGGCTGGCTCTTCTGTTTTCACCTACTTTACTTCAACTATATGTGATATGAATACATTGTTCACATTAGTTATATTTGCAGTAATTATTGTGGAGACACAAAGTCTGCATTAGATATATCTAAATAACAAAATAAAACTAGACAAGTTCTTTTTCCGAAACAAATTATGCCACTGAAGATTTCTTGAAGAATGTATAGACATGGTGTTACTGGAGCTATCTGTCATACTTACCCTTGGACAGAGCAGTACAGATAAGAAGGGTGGCTTTAAAGCAGTGGCAGTAGATAGCCTAAGAGCACCTCTGAGCTCTGACCCCACAGCTCTAGGTTACAGCTAACAGTGGAAGTGTCCCGTGGAACTACGGATGGACGAGGGACAGTAAAGCATGGCTTGCAACATATTGGTAACAAAAAGACAATCTCTTTTCTGGGGAGTTCATCCTAAAATACTAGAACAAATTGAAAATGCATTTCTGACGAAAACCTTTGTTGGTGCGTGGGGAGAACCCAAGTTTCTAATTTATGGCAGGACTGAGTTGGGTTTGGTGCCAGCTCCTGCCTTCCTACTGATGAGCCCCGGAGCTATTAAAGCGATGTGCCGGGAGGTGAGGGCGCAGTCTCCCCGCCCGCTCCCCGCGCCCCGCCGGCCGCCCATCGGCGCGGCTCCCGTGCCCGCCCCCGCCGCTCGGCACGGCCGCTCCCGGGCGGCCGGGCAGGTACCGGGGCCGCTCCGGGCGGCAGCTCCGCCGCGAGGGGTGTCCCTGAGCAGCGGCTCGGCGGTGCCGGGCGAGGATTGGGCAGGGCGGGCCAGCGGCTCCGCGGCTCCCTCGCCGCGCTCCCGCAGCAGCAGCGCGCTCGCCGCCCGCGCCGCTCCCGGCCCCGGCCCCGGCCGCCGCCGCATCGTGATGCCGCATCCCGCGGCGCCCCTCGGGGCCGTCCTGCTGCTCGTCCTGCTGGCGGCGGACTCCTCGCAGAGTGAGTACCGCGGGGGCTCGTCCCTCCCGCGCACGCCGCCGAGCATCCCCCGCCGCCCTGCGTGTGTGCGAGCGCGGGCTGTGCCGGGGCGGGGTGGGGTGCGGGGGGATGCGCAGCTTCGCGGCTGCGGTGCGGGCGGCGGCGGGGTCAGGGGATGCTGGCGAGGGGCCGCGCTGAGGCCGCGGCCACCCACGGGCGGCACCTTGAGCAGGGAGAGCGCTCGGTGCCCCCGGAGGGGCGGTAAGTGTGCGGGGTGGGGGTAGGGGAATCCGGCGCGATCAGACGGGCTCAGCTGTTCACGGCTGCCTGTCCTTGCTCCTGCTCCTCTCCTCCTCGTCCTGCTCCTGGCCTCCCCCGCGCCGTCCCGGCGCTCGGCTGCCCAGCCGTGCTGCTGCGCGCCCCGGAAGCTGCCCAGTTCCTGCGGCAGAGGCAGCGCCGAGCCTACCAGATCTTCGAGGAGACCAAGCAAGGGCACCTGGAGAGGGAGTGCGTGGAGGAGCACTGCAGCAAGGAGGAGGCCCGGGAGGTGTTTGAGAATGACCCGGAGACGGTAAGGACGCAGGGCCGCCGTGGAGATTTGGGGGGTGGGTGTCCGGCTCTGCGCTCCCACCCACCCATTATCCGCGGCTGGATGTCAGCTACCGGCACAGCTGGGAAAGGCATCTGGAGGAGGAGGACCCAGGGCCATTAGGTGAACGACTGGAAGACACACTCGTGCTCAGCCTGCACAAGGGCTGTGCCAGGGCTGTCCAGTCAGGAGCGCCTCGGTGAGCGTGGTCCGAGAGAGCAGCCCAGCCTGGCGCTGGCTGGCGAGACTGTCACTGGAGGGTAGAGCGGTCCTGTTCGCCCATGGTCCAAATCCATGAAGCAAGACCAGTGCAACCTAATGACACAGCTTCTCTGTCTGGATACCTTGCCATCCCTGCTCTTCCCTCCAGCTTCCCATCCCAGCAGTATTTAAAATCCCCTCAGTGTTGCAGCATATGTCACAACTGAGGCTTCTCAGACGAATGTCCTAACCATTCTTAAATCCATGGGGGCCAATTCAGCTTGGTCAGCATCTTAGAATCAGTAGGTTCAGGACCTGTCACTACAACAGCAGGAGGGCACATATATGGAAATGTGGTTCTGCTTCTAACACTGTGGATTCACAGTTACAGACTGCACACTGTACATGGAGCTGTCTTTTCCAGTCTTACCAGGGTTGACTTTCACTTCAGTCCTCTCACTTTGAGCAGCATACGGATGCTTTACTAAGCTTGGCTTACTCCTCCAGTCATTTTACACCTCCTCTCAACAATGTTTTGGATAGGCTGTTCTCATTGCAAGGACTATCTGGCATCGATTTAGCAGTGGGAAGTGGATTTTCTTGGTGCTCAAACTGAAGCTCAGTTCTGCACAGCATGTTCCTGTTAATGGTATGATGCTCCAGGGAGAAGACAGGACAGAGGAGGAGAGAGAGAGAGTGAGCACATGTGTGTGTACACAGAGGCACAAACCACAGGCAAAGGAGGGACTCAGCAGAGATGTTTTATGCTTCAGTAAGGCAAGTCTTGACACGTTTGCTTCATTAGCAGCCTCAGCACTCGATAGACAGTGCAGCAGCTTGCTGTCACAAGACAGTAGTAAGTACAGCAAAAGCAAAGTGATGTGGTTTTGACAGTCTTTATTTTTGAGATTAATATGGAACACTTGCCCAGGCGGTGTTTAATGTTACACCTTTTATGTGAATGCATAGTCACTGTGTGTGGCAGTGTTTGCTTCTGCTCTGCAGAAACTGAGAGACTCCAGAATGTGGATAACTGTAATGGGGTGAGAGTGGCTGGCACAGCTACTGTATTTGTGTTGAGTAATGTAGCATTAAACTCGATATAAATATTCACCACATAGCAGTGAGTACAGGGAAAACTATGATGAGTGTGATTTTATAGCCTTCTGGACCAAAGGTGATCTAAGGTCACTACTTTTACTAACTGGCTGCTGGCCAAGAGGGTAGCTAAAGGTGATGCATTGATAGATCACTTTAAGGGTAGGATAGTGTACAAATATGTCAGGAGTTTTAAACAGTATTTGGTACTGACTTCGTAAATTGTAAAGAATGCATGGTTCTCCTACTGAAATGACAATAGTGAAATAATTTTTGGTTTAAAATCTTTTCACATATAATATAAATTCTTTAAGACACTATCATACTTTTAATGTGTTTTGTAGGACAATGCTGGCTTTCTGTTATTCCAGGTGATTTTGATTTTTTGGTGCATTTCCTTTGCTATTGCTGCTAGGTTTCATTCTGTTCTGAAAACCTGAATAAAGGCTAGATGGGCTTCTAGTGTCTGTGCCCCCTAACATGTCCTTCTACATGAGGACACTTAGATCTGCAGTGACGTAAGATCCTACCTTTTCTGAGACACAAACCTCCCAAGAGCTGTAAAGTTGCTTGTTAAGTGCAGTATGTTCTACTCCTTGCATTACTGTGCTTCAGTTTGATTGAGAAACAAGTGTGCTTTAATCTATCAGGGGGTTTATGGCCCTTCCTGACCCTTTTGCAATCAGTATGTGATGTGAAAGCAGCAGCTGCTGTTCAGTAGCAACTTTCTAATGCATGGTGGCAGAGGTTATGTATGTGGGCTGTTGCTGCTCTGCACTGGAAGACTTCACTGTTTTGTAGTGCATAGGTGACTAGTCTTTCAGCAGTAACTGTGGATTTCATGGACAGAGTATTAATTCACAATGGAAGTATATTTTAAACAGTAGGGAGTTGTTGTGCTGTCATTTCACTGATGCTGTGTTGTACTGTCAGAAGAAGGAAGCTAGTTGAGACAGACCTGACTTAGGAAAGCCAACAACTGTTGTAAACAACAGCAAATTTTTGAAGTATTACAGTAACTGCAGTCATGCCTCAGTGTATTGCCAGGCTGTGGCTGATCCATGCTGGTAAAGTGAACTTGTATTGACCAGGGAAATGAACAGATTGCTGTTGACAGAAGAAGATTCCTTGTAGTTTAGGAAGGATGAAATTTCTGCAAGTGCCTGCTGAACCTGGTCACATGGATTAACTATTTAGGTTGTAGAAGAAAGAAACAGCTACAATACTTTTTGCCCTGTGCTGAGCACTGTGAGGCTATGCAGACAAGCCATAACAAACACAGCAGCACAATCTGTCTTGTTGCATCTACCAGGTTTTATGCTTTAAATTACCAGATGAGTATCTATGTAGGCATTTGGCTGTTTACTGTACCACAGGAGCAATGGTCTTGCAGCCTTGACAACTGAAAGTTAGTTTCAGATTAGTTGATCAGTCTTGATGCTTCTCTGTTCAGCCTCAAGGAAGGTTTGTGATATCAGACCAAAAGTGTTGTTCCTCTTCCCTTTTCCCCTCCATTAGATGCTAATGAAATGTATGAGTCTTCCTTACCAACCTTGCCATTTTTGACTATCCTGTGGTTGTGTGAGGAGAATTTTAAGGCCTAAGTTTAAGACCTATGACTTAAAGATGTGATAGGAAATTGCATTAACTGATTCAATAAAACAGTTCCAGAAGCTGAGGTAAGATGAAGTAAAGCTCTAACATAGCTCATGTGATGCTTCCTAGGTAAAACCATATCTTTATGCAGCCAGTTGTAACATCTAGCCAGGAAATAGGAAAGATACCTATTTCCTGGACAGACCAGTAAATGAAATGATGTGTCACATACCTGTACCAGAGCACCCTTTTCCTGTGCCTTCCATTGTTTCAGTGATCAGCTTTCCAAAACAACATCTGCAGGCAGTCAGCAGAAGATGCACATTCTCTGAAACCTGAAGGTGGATTTTGCCATTACTTACATCAGCTGCTAAGAATAGTGCACCAGGCGGGGCCCAAGAGCCATTCATGTGCAGGGCAGTGCAGCTTTTGTCTTTTATGTTACGGAAAATATAAATATCAGCTCGCTCAGACTAGAGGAAGGAAGATCAATTGCAACATTTTTAGATTTTTTTTTTAAGAGGCAGAACAAAACTCAGTCTGTGCCACTTGTATGACTAAACATGGTAAAAGCAAGTAGCCTGGATTAATGAGTCTTGCAGCCTACCTTTTTCATGAAGCTCATTATAGCATCCTTAAACATTACTGCAAAATTCTGGGATGGTTCCTGTTTTGTAATTTCATTTATGCTAGAGGTGCCAAAGAGAAAAATTAAAAGATAATATAGTGGTAAAAAAAAAGAAGGATGGAAAACATCTTGATGGGAGGTATGCAGACTTTTTCTAAATGTGATCTATTCAAAATACATGTGCGGTGTAATAGATGGGATGAAGTTTCAAAATATCTTGGATACAGAGATAAGAATGTTATCTTATTTAAGATGTTGACAAAGCCTTATAAAAGCAGCACTGCAGAAATATTTGACCTTGGTATGCAGTCAAGGTATTACAGCTTGTTAAGTGACTGATAAACTGCTCTGGAATTTGGTTGACCCGTTCTAAAAATCTGGTCATCCAAGCATGTAAAACAAAGGGCAGAAGGGAGTGTAGATCGGGATCTTCTTAGAAACATTGCATTTCACTGAAGAAAAACATGTCCTTTTGCAAGGAGTTTCTCTGTTTTGAAAGGCTCAGCATAGGGAAGATGTTTGAATGCAGCCTCTTATCCTTTGGTATGATAGCACAGCACCCGTCCCTGCACATCTTGCTTGCTGTTGTTACTGCTGAAGAATTACTGCTCTTCCTGCACCTCACCATAGAAATTACTATGCTAAAAAATGTTAGGCACACGAGAAACGCTGATGTAGGTCAGGCTGGCCACCTGTGTTTACTGTTTATGGATTTGGCCCTCAGTAGAACACTGTGGAAAGCCAGCTGGTTTCCATGTGCCTGCAGAATGGACATCTGATTCATAGGCAGACACGTGAAAAATCTGGATTTTGAGAGACTTGAATCCAAAATGTTTTTTTAAATCTACGGCTTGTCAGATACACAAAACATTGGCAGAGAATCACAGCATTACTTGGAACTGAAGAGGAATCTACCCCTCTGTCCCACTCATGGCAAGGGCAGCAGTGACACCAGACCAAGTTTTTGGGGACTTTTAGCAATCTTGTCTTGAAAATTACTGATCCTAATAAAACATCCAGCAATGTCAGCATTCTTTCTGCTAGGCTGGGTTTATTGAGAAGCTGAAATGCAGATGAAGCAATGTATAGGGTGTGGTAAGGGTCAGTTTGGTTGTTTTTCAGCATGTTGATGGCTCACTGGTTTTATTTTTCATGTGCACCATAACATGACATGGTCTTGATAACACAGATGACCTTCATCCTTGGACTAGGGTCATCCAAACTTCATTCTGATCTTTTAGGAGGTGTGCTTGTCAGGCAATGTTTAGATGTTATTTCCAAGAATAACAAGGTAGATGCACACTTGTAAATATTAATCAGTAAAGTATGAAGGCATGTAGAGGGAGGAGAGGAGTTACTGGGAGAGTAAAGCGGTGTAAAATTTCTTTAAGTAATTTAGTGAATGTTGTGTAGTCTAGACATGAAAAATACTGATATCATCTTTAGATACAGATGTCAT